GTAACGACCACGTTACAGTAAATCCACTCAAATCCCTCAACTTATAACTACGTAGTTCATTTTCTGTAACGTGGTCGTTACAGTAAATCCACTCAAATCCTTCAACTTCTAAATACATAGTTCATTTTCTGTAACGTGGTCGTTACAGTAAATCCACTCATATCCCTCAACTTCTAAATACGTAGTTCATTTTCTGTAACGTGGTCGTTACAGTAAACCCACTCATATCTCTCAGCTTTCAAATACACAGCTGTATCGATATGCATTGAGATGCTATTACGCGAAGGATAATACCCTAAATCCACTCATATTCCTCAAGTTATATGATGGATATATTTTTGGTACGGTAATGAAGTCATTACTTCTCGGTACAATATGTGATGATAATGTCAATATACTTTCGTTGTTCATTCTTGAGGGTATCGTGACGGCTAGCTGTCGATACCCGTCGTATTGGTATTATGACATCTATGCATAATGTTGACAAAGTATGTTCACAGAATCTACCGGTGATAAAGATCATTCATTTGATGGGTGATTCTCGATAAATGTATCTTTCTTGAAGCTTTGCTTTAATGTACATGAAATAGATGAACAAACTCATGCAGCGAGTTGGCAATGGATGGTGACAATTTATATGTGATGCGATCGTTGAATTTCTTTATCAATGAAAAAAAACTTGTAACGAAAGAAGAAAAATAGTCGAAGAATGCAACTGTAATAAGACTAATTTCTATTTCACGTGCAATTTGATATACTTAGTGATTTATCATCTTAGTTGTAAAGCGAGTGACATTAAGGAAAAGGCATATGTCAATAATTGCGATCAGCCTTTCACTATGTTATCTTTTAAAAGAGCCTATTCTTCAAGCTTTTGTTTCGATGTGTGAGATAACATCGAACAGAAGAATTGGAATGGCATGGATTGGAAGCATTATGTTGATCCATGATTTTTGCCATCGTTTATCAGCATAGTGATTTGCAACATTGCTTTATAAATGTATCCAAGTATTTGAATAAATCCGTTACTGACAATATATTAGTATATCATGAGATCTTTTGGGATCAAGCATAATAGATATACTTTGCTTCAAAATAGATAAGATAAGTGAACAAAATTCTGATAATGCATCTACATTAAGTATGTAATCGTCGATCTATATGAAACACGGTTGATCTACATTGGAAAATAAGAAACATAAATGAACGCAACAGTGATAATGATGGTTCATTCATCACAAGATCGTTTTCCAACTTATCAATACATCATCTTTCATGCGAACGCTGAGAAATACCTGAGTGAAACTTTAAATATATGAATCATTCATTTATTACCTGCTCTTCGACCAACAGACCAATTCACAAGCTTTAGTTTAAGCTTCAAAATGAGATGAAGATATAAATGAACCGAACCATTACGAGCTCTTCAAGCGTTATCCACATGCATTATCCATGCTGCAGTGAATGAGCTAAGATCAGCAGACCTATTGTAGCATAAAATGGTTAAAATAATTGAACATAGCTTTCGTTATGATCATTCATCTTGAGACGTTAAAGAATTAGCTAAAGATCTTTCAATATTTGTTTCAAATTAACGAAAATAGCTGAATACGATAGTGATCATAGTTGTTCATCTATAACTTGAGACATGCCGTTTTTATTTGTGGAGAAGATCGTGTTTCTGACATCATGTGAATGATGAATATATTATTGGTGCAACATGTTCTTAACACGTTTCCAGTTTCATGAGACTGCAGGACAGTAGTCAGTCAACACCTTTCGTTCGAACGAAGAATGAGAGGTGAACAGAAATATAGTGATAAATTTTCATTTGCAAGATGATCCTATATCAGCTTACAGATTCATAATCTTTGATTCGAAATGAAAAAGACAGATAAACAAAACTCTTTTGCGTACTGTTCTTGTGCGATGTGCTCTTTGATCCACTCACCAAATCAGAATCTTTGACTCGGAATGAGCAGACGAAATGAACACAAGTCTTTTACCTAGTCCTCTGCTGTGATGTGATCTTGGATCAACTAACCAAGCCATCACCTTTCATTCCAAACAAGCAAACAAGGTGAACAGAACTCTCTTAAGTAGTGTTCTTTTGCAATTCGATTTTCGCTCACCTGACAGAGTCGCAAACTTCGATTGGCAATGAGCAAAATAAGTGAGCAGAACTCTGATAGTTAGTGTTCTTTTGGAATGTGATCTGTGGTCAGCAGACAGAGTGACAATTTTCGACTTTCAATGAGAAAAAGAGATGAACAGAACTCTCCTAGGTAGTGATCTTTTGCCACATGATTTTCGATCAGCTGACAGAATTACAATCTTTCATTCGAAACGAGCAAACGAGACGAACACAACTCTCATAGCTACTGTTCTTTTGCGATATAATGTGCGATCAACAGACAGAGCCGCAATCGTTGATTCGAAATGACCAAAAGAGATCAACAGAACTCTCCTAGGTACTATTCTTTTGCGATGTGATCCTCGATCAGTTGACGCAGCCAAAAGCTTTGTTTCCAAATGATCAACAGAAGTGAATAAAACTCTGATAGGTAGTGTTCGTTTGCGATGTGGTCTTTCATTATCTGAGAGAGTCACAATCATTCATTGGAGTGGACCAAAATTGATGATCCAAACTCTCTTAGCTAGAGTCCTTTTGTCATGAAGTCTTCAATCAGCTGACAGAATTACCCTATTTGATTCTAATTGAGCAAAACAGGTGAACAAAACTCTCGTGACTATTGCACTTTTGCGATGTCACCGGTTATCAGCAGACACAGTTCCCATCATTGGTTCGAAACGAGCAAAATAGATGAACAGAACTCTTCTAGGCAGTGTTCTTTTGCGATGTGATGTTTGATCACCTGACAGAGCCATAGTCCTTTATTCGAAAAGAGCAAACGAGATGACCAGAACTCTAATAGGTAGTGTTCCTATCCGATGGGATCTTCGATCAGGTGACAAAGTTACAATCTTTGATGCGAAATGAGAGCAAGAGATGAACAGAACTCTCGTAGGTAGTGTTTCGTTACGATGTCACCTCCGATCAGCTAACAGAATTACAATCTTTGATTCGAAAAGAGCAAAGGACACGAACACAACTCTCGTGGCGACTGTTCTTTTGCAATGTGATGTGTGCTCAACAGGCAGAGCCGCAATCGTTGACTCGAAATGAGCAAGAGAGATTAAGAGAACTCTCTTAGGTAGTGTTCTTTTGCGATGTGACCTTCGA